AGCAGCCGACCGTAAGGGCTATTGATTGTTGACTTGAGGCACTTAACGTCGAGTGGCATGTTGTCCGATATTTTCTTTATAATGAAATCATTTTTCTCATTTGACCATAATTTTTGGTTCTTTGGTGAAAGGAATTTCTTTATAATGAAATAATTTTTCTCATTTGACCATAATTTTTGGTTCTTTGGTGAAAGGAAAACACTAAAGTATCCTTATTTCTATAAATTAGCAACTTCATCATAACACAAGAAACAATGTGATCAGCACAACTACATAGCACAGACTGACAGACAACTTCTTCAGTATGATATAAAGTTTAATACCTTCAGAACATTCACATATATATATACAGCATTACTGCTTTACCAATACTACACGATGTAGGAACAGGTTCAACTGCGTCTGTTTCTCACATGTATTTTCTGTTGCTCACTAGCACTCACAACACAAACATACAACACGGCCACACATCCTCATCCTTGACATGACAAAACTGTATAAACCTAATGCTAGAAATCACTCCATTAGGCCAATGTGTTTTCTACTTGCTGGATCAGGGAAACAGCAAGTCACCATCAGCCATCTTCCCGAGGCAAGTGAGTTAACTGACTATAAAAGTCCAGTTTCCACCCTTGCCAAACTAGGCTGGTATTATGGAGTTACATTTTGGCTGGACTAACGAGTCTATGCATAGTCCAATCAAAATCGCGCACCAAAATCGAAATCCGGTTCGTAAAGTGTCATGCAGATTTTGGTCAACTGCAGGATTTGCAAAGCATGTGCACCACTTACTCGTTGTCAACAGATATTTTCTACATCTTTTCATGTTTTTAATCAAGGTGCTCATGTGATTTGATGCACTTCGCGATGTAAGACTCGTTTAATCACAATATAGATCTTGATTATTGATCAGATCGTCTTGACTGGGCGCCACCATTTTGTTTGAAGCAAATGCAAGTGATACGAGAGGTTAAATCTGATTGTCAATAGGAGAGGCATAGAAAGGACATTACTTGTAATAGCCCCTGGTGGCGCTACGATCGAGCCCAGGAATTCCAACCTAGTTTGGCAAGGGTGGAAACTGGACTTTTAAAGTCAGTTAACCCTCTTGCCTCAGGAAGATGCCATCAGCCAGCATCTGCAGCAAGGCTTTAGCTTTTTTTACAGAAGACTAAGGAGTCTAATCTTGATAGGCCTGTGTAGCAAGGGCTAGGACATAGCTCTAAGACTTATCATGAACAGAATCAATGACTACTGACCAACTTGGTGAAGACTGAATGTTAAATTGAGCATTGTATTGGTATTGTTGAAAATTTTCATTAGAAAGAAAGAGCTATTTAAAAAATTGTATGCCTGTCGGATGTGTCAGAGTAAATATTAATTAATTCGTTATCCATTTTGATGAAAAATAGGGTAGATTTATCTATGATCCAACAATTAAGAAATCATGCCCTAGTACTTGGTGCATTTTTGATATTACCATGGTCTGCATTTAAAACCATGACTCTTCTCTGACCCTCTGTCATCTTGGAGGAATCCCTATCCTGTCCAAGCATGAAATTAACACAAGCCAAGTGACCTGATGCTGTATGCCTGTAGAATATGGTCTGGTAGAATGTCCATCCTTTTCAATGTATAACTGTTCAGCCTCGGAAGCGTCTGTCCTTGAATTGTTTTATCACACTTCCAGATGTTCTAATTCTCTACAGAGCTTCAGCCTCTTTCTGACGTCGTTGCAGCTCCGCCTCCTTTTCAATCTGCTCTGACCTCATCTGTTCCTCTGCCAGCATCCGTTTCCTCTCCAGCTGTAGCGGCCTGACATCTGCAAAACCACACAAAACATCAAATTCATTGTATGATCAAACATGTAACATCCACACTCTGGAAAGCACAAACTGCAGGAGAACATACAGTGTGTCTTGCCCTGACTGTGATAGAGGGGCTCTCTTTGAAATGTCAAATCTTATAGTTGATGAAAATTATTAAATAATGATGTTCTCAGACTGGCAGCTGACATTTTGTTCTTTTTCTTTCTATTCTATGTCAGTTTTGACATATGACACAGAACTCTGGTGACAAAACTGATGTAGCCTGCGAACCATGATGGATATTGCACCTTGTCTGTTTTGAGCTACATTTCCAAAGAAATCAGCACGAGTCAAATACTTGATTAATATGTTAAAATACTTACAAAGAAAACAGGTAATGAAATTCTTTAATACCAGGAATATTTTAGCATTACTTCTATATTTGGTGTATTTATAAGCTCAAAACATGGAAGTGTTGAAATCCAATTCTCAATCATATGCACACACGCCATAACTTATTAAAAGATTTCCTCCTTTCTTAAATTATATAGAACAATTAAATACCTAAAATGCTGTATATTTTTTAGGGTGGAAGTATTACCCCATCCTCTATATCTCCAGGACTTGCATTTTGGTAAACCAACACTAGCTTCTTGATCCATTCCCTTGATTCTCCCAATCTCGGATTACCCGCTCTTAAGTTTCATTCAAATTGACTGACTGATCACACATCAAGATAAGGAAAAGGAAATGGCCAAGGGAGGTTTACTCGTATTACCTAGAAACTAAAACCACCACCAGTTTTAATGGAGATGAAGTCATCCTTTCCATCAAAAAGACTTTTGAGGGTTTCTTTTGCGTGTCAATCAGTTTTTCAACGTTGAATTTTTCTCAAACTCTGTTGTATTCAATGGGATTGGCCGCCATTTTGTTGATATCGCCAACGCTACATTAGGGCTGGTTTTTAACTCGCATTCTCATTGGTCCGTAGCAACTCAAATTGGCTAATGAAAAAGGGCAGGTAATTTGAGATCGTTAATGGGGTTGAGGGGTAAGTGTAGGTTTACTGAGAGCCCTGGAGATTTAGAGGATGGTCACCTACTAAATTAATCAAATCTGATCCTTACATCAGTCGGTCTAAAGCCATGGGGCACTGCAGTGTACTCACACGTCAGGTATCTGTACCCCCTCCAAGCCAACAGCCCGCATCCTATTCCGGTCAGTCCTATTAATCCTGTCACCACAGTTTTGTGCAGAACGTCATACACAAGGTGTTTTCTTATTTTCCTCATACTCTGAAAACAAACACACAAAATAACAGGAATATCATGACACAAATTAAAATCATGGACCTGTCCCATGTGTACTGTTATTCTTTTTAATTTTGTTCTCACTTCATTTCAACTCACATATCACAATCTATATGCCCGGTACATTAAAATAGGAAATTTTGTGATGAGTATCTTTTGCAAAACACATCGGGAATTCATAAATGATGCAAGTGGTTTCAACAAAAGTTTACAAATATCAAAATACCTTGTAGAATTGTGGCATAACTGGTTGCCCTAATAAGTGTTCTCAGGATAGAAATATTTTTTCATGCATCAGAAACTTTCTGTGAATTTACTTCTGAATGAATCACCACAAAAACTACAATTTGACAAAACAAAATCAAGATGGCAGAAGGTTTGTTTGTTGTGTAAAGGCCAGGACATCGACGCTTTGAGGTGTATTTAATTCATGCATTAAATAATTTCCAAGTGTGATATCACACCTTCAGTTCATGCATGATTCAATTCTCAAACCAAAACAACAGAGCTCTGCACAGCGAAGTTGCCAAACCAAGTGCTGCACAGAATAAATTGTCTTCGCTCAAGTTTTTATCAGAGCCAAATTGAAGAGAAAGTGTGTGTGCCTCTGAAAGAAGACCTTCCTCTCCCGCTAATAGGTCTACTCCAGTCACTGTTAGGGGGTTAATGGCTATTGTTTGTAAAAAAATCCTGAAGAGCAGTCTTTTACACTGCACTAAGCAATATTCCAGCTGTGTTCAAGCCCGTAAATAATCATGTCTGGACCAGACAAACCAGCAATGTTGCTGAGGGCCTATTCTAATGAGTATTACCAGCAACAACCCACATCTTCAGGGTACGATGGCAAGCAATCAACCAAGTCACAGAGCCTGTCAACCCAATCCATTGCAACATCTCTAACAACAAATATATCTCAATGATTTGAAGCCAATCAGAGACACAGACTTCCTTCCCACATCTCTTGTGGGCCCCGTCATATCAGTGACATATAGGACAGTTCATAATAGGCAAAGACCGAAAGAGAGAACCAGAGACCATATAATAGATTATTATATGGTCTCTGAGAGAACACAGTAAAGAACACCATTGCTTGTGTTACAGGCTAGAAAGTAATTCTGTGCGATTAAAGAATATGTTTGCCACTTAATAGTATCATTAAAACTATATACATCTCAAGACAAATTATTTAGTAACAGAAAAAACAATGGGCCAAAACAATAACACGTGCATCTTCAATCTATAGAGTTAGCTAGGGTTAGGGTAGGTTACCACCAACTCTAAATATTCTTAGTCCTTGGATCCTTGAATAAGTGTTTGTATGTGGCATACATATTGTACAGCGCCTCTAAGCATGCCTAAGATAAGGTGAGGCAAATACAGAAATGTATATTCAGCAACTAAACATTTCTCGAAACTCGTCTATCACTGCAGAAAACGTTTTACTATCAGGTTGTGGTAATGTGGTAATTTCAATGGGAAACAGTGGACAGGTGCTTGATCATCGACGTTAGTAACAACATTCTAATAATAATTGACAAGCATTGTTTGTTTTGTAGTTGAAAACACTAACTTCCAGTACACTTGTCGCGTGTCATCGAATAAAAGATCTAAGTTTATTTTTAACCCTCGACTTACCTCGATGAAACGTGCAACTCCGTTTGGTGCAAATGTGACCTTGACTAGGCTCCTGTCTACTTTAACAAACTAAACGCTTTAAGCATGAAGCGCGTATCAATAGTGGAACCAGTTTAGATATGACCTTCACATTTAACTTGGCTATGCAAAGCTAAGTTTTTTAAGAAATTCACCAGATAACATATTTCCCTAATAACTTCCATCTTATCTCACGAAATCACTAGATATTTTTTGTTTGAATTGTATATTGTTTATAAGTGCTTAAAAATTAATATTATCTACTTTTACAGATAAACTTTATCACATTGTTATGTAAAGCTAGCAGCCGTCTCGCGGAAGCCATTTTCAAACAACATGGCGGATGAAATGTTGTAACTTAGGTAAATAATCACAAATGTTTAATATTTTTAAAAGTTTGGCATGGTAATTGTGTTTTTGATGGATAATCTGCTTGATATTGTAACAATCGCGTTTACTCTAAAGTTTGAACTAACATGTATCAATTGTAACGTTAATAATCACGACAAACGGTGATGTTGAAATGATAGTGAAATAAACCAACCCGCTGATAAAATATCTAACGGGTATACTATACGGGATACACCCGACTCGCCTAAAAAGATTTTGACACGAATTGCCTTAATTTTTTTTAATCGAACTACGGTGGGTTTTTGTATTATAGAATAAGTATGTAACTATCAGAAATACTTAGTAATGCATTTTATACACATAATGTACCTAAATGTTAGTGTTGTATTCTCGGTCCCAATAGCGTAACCGACTGGTCTCTGGCTCACTGACTCAACATGAAGCGCAGCGCGTTAAGCATAGTATGGATGATACGGGTTTTTTTTATATTATTTCCATACTTGTGTATGAATATACTAGTAATTGTGATCATTAGGCCTAACCTAAGTTGTATTTGCCAAATGCATACCAAAATATTATATATATTTTTTAGGCGAGTCGGGTGCAACTCTACTATACACATGGCCTGACTATACATTTGGCGGCCCATTTGGCAGTATCCATGATCAAAACCATGTTGCCGGATTGCGGTAATTTTGTACCCCAAGAAAGAAACTTCGTATTTCTAAATATTTATATATAAGACAATGTTATCATTGGATTATAGGTTTCCAAAGATTCTGTTGGGGCGGCCATGTTTATCGCGATTTCTCTCGCAGTAACAAATTGTGTGATGTCACAGTGGAGCGGTCCTTTCGCCGCTAAAAAGATAGAGGACAAAACAGATGTTATTGAGATTTCATAAAACAAATTATCACTATGCAATCATTGGAATTATTTTTTTATGGTCAGCCATTCATTCTCTATAACATTCACGAAACAACATACCAGTACACATACATACAACTATCAACACACAATCAAACACATCACAGTAAAACAACAACTAATATCCCAATTCACTTGCATAGTCTGGTCAAGACAGCCATCATATAGCTGGAATATATATTGTATTTCGCATAAACGGTGTTGCCATCCATCACATTTCATTGTTTAAATAATTGAATGAAGTCAACATAACTTAATATGCCTTCCCTGGTATTGTTGTTAAATAAACATCTCCATCTCCGCTACTGGAATCAAGGAGCCCACAAGTAATTGTCAGTTGAAACAGTGTTTTCATGACCTCCTCCGTGGTCTAGTGCCAGTGGTAGAGCGTCCGCTCTGAGAGCCGAAGGTCTGGGGTTTCGATCCTGAGCCGTGTCATACCAAAAGACGTTAAAAGATGGTACTTTGTTGTTTCCCTGCCTGGCGCTCGGCATTAAGGGGCCAAAACAAGGACTTGTCAGCTCGGAGTCAGTATAATGTGTCTGAGTGGGGTATTCATGTTAAACATTTCACCTCACCTCATCAGTGTTTTCATAAACATTAGCTTCATTCAACAGAAAAATAGACATATGTTATTGTTCTTGTTAAAAAATATCATCCCCCTATGCATTTACATTATATGTTGTTTAGGCCAGGCTTTTTTCTATTTTTAAGGATTACAGATTTTTCAGCCCAATTAAAGTCCAGGGTTGGAGGAGGGAAAAAAAAAGCCAGATACATTTTTTTTTTAATGCAGAATGCCTCTGGCATACTTTATGAACATATTCTGTGCTGAAAAGACCGCCATTTGTGATGATAAAGCCCCTTGAAACAATAAATATTCTACCACTTACAACACAGACAATTGTCAAGGGAGGCTATTCATGTTCGGCTTCGAGATCAACAAAGATCAATTATGTATCTCTTTACTAGTTTACAATGGTAAATTCATAAGTTTTTTTATCAAAAGGTGATGATAACAAATAAAAAAACTGACTACGCAGCTATCGGCAGGGGAAAAAAATGGAAATGTGATTTATTTATTTTAAAATTTTCTAAAAAGTCGGCGGGTCCGTAATCCGAAAAATATAAAACGCCTGGCCTTAGAACTGAATTAATTTATTGCTTAGGCCAGGCTTAACACACCTGGCCTTACTGCATAGGGTTACAAAGTTACTTTTGATTTGGGATACACAATTACTCATTTCCAGGGGTATGAATTATGAATGTATATACATCCTTGGCATCCACTAACATGGATAGGGTCCCTCTTGATCAGTTCACAATCCAAATGTGCCCTTTAGAATAGGTCTTCAGCAACCCAAGCTTGCCGTGAGAGGCAACTAAGCGTGTTGTAAGAGTTGACTAACAGGATTGGGTGGTCAAGCTCGCTGACGTGGTTGATGCATGTCATCGTATCCCCATTGCATGGATCGACTCTCATGACACCAATCACTGGATAGTCTTGTACAGACTCGATTATTTTACAGACTTCAGTCATATAGTTTGAATATTGCTGAGTGCACCGTTAAACAACAAACAAACAAAACATGTATAAAACAATATTTTGAGTTGTACCCATATTTCATTGTATTATTTTGTTCCAAGAACATATCTAACTGTACCATGATTTTTGAAATCTCATGATAGTAATGGTTTGATTTATTAATAGCCCTAAACCTAGGGATTGAAAAGATAGCTTTGATAGTAAGGACAACCCTATAAGTATAAATAGCCATGTTAACAAAAGCTTTCATTGTAAAAGATGTCCAGAGGGATTAAGTGTATTAAGAAGGCATTGAAAACCATCTGCACTCTCGTCTATTTCTGTCTTTCTAGACCCATGTTTCAAAGATCAGATTTCTCTATTCACCTGATCAAGAATGGCAACAAATCGACCATTAAGTCGTCAAAAGAAGAGCTACCAGGAACCAGATAAAGAAAACAATGTCATACACAAACGGTAGGTATCAGCTTGTTAAGGCAGCATTAGAAATTGGCACAAGTCCTATAGTCAGGAAGAGAATATATGAATGTCAACTTCTTTATTATGAGGAACACAATGTTTCGGAGTATATATTTACTCCTTCATCAGGTGAATTAATGCTATTAAGGCTGGCTGGTGTCTCCTGATGTCAATGCGTTCTTGTAGTTTTCTTTGTCGCCAGTTGTAGTTGTTGGTAGACAGGACTTTGGTGGCATCCCACCTGATGTTATGCTCATGGTTCTTGATGAGGTTTCAGAAATAGCGTATTTCAGGTCTAGTTTGTTGACAGAGGTGAATAGACTACATCTAGTTTCTGAAATAAACATGTCTTACAGAAGAAAAAAAAGTTGTTGAATTATCTAAATAAAATATAATAAAAGGGAGCCCAGATACTCTCTTCATTTTCCAGACTTGCCCACTATTATAGACTTGCATGGGCTCTTTTGGATATATTTGTTTCAGGGTCTGTATGACAGACTAAGAGGTTTAATGTTCTTTGAGTCTGGTGTTGGTGGCCACAGTTGCAAGTATATACTCCAAAATGTTACATTAATAAATTCTCTTTCTTTTGTGTATCACTTCATAATGCCATTTAAAGGCTTGAGTCCTATAGTCCTTGCCAAACTGCCAAATGGTTAAAGTATCATAAGGACTAGTAGAAATTTTCCATTTTTAAGGGTTTTGCTATATGTTATCATTACAAAATGATATAAAATACATGCTTGAACAAAGAGTTATATTAATCTTTTTTACTTCATGGGTAATGTTTTGCTGTAATCATGGTAATCTGACACACTTACCAAACCCAAAGAAGCTGCACTTTCAGATGAATCCTCTCACAACAGACTCATGTACCCTGACTCTTAGTAACTCTCAGTGAAACACGGTACTAGAGACTTACGTTCATGAAAGTTAGTAGTAGATCCTTAGATGGCATAATACCAAGATGATTCAGTCTATCCTGGTGTTGTTATTTACAGACCACCATCGGGAGGCATCCGGCACTTGAACAATTCTAATTCATCTAGTCTTGAAATCCTTGAATCAGAAGGTGAGAGGTTATCTTACAGGGTCAACAGTAGATGTGGAGGTCAAAGTTGAGTCATGTGGGTCAACAGGTCAGGGTTCATCAGAGTGAACCATGAACCCAGGCCTGGGGTCAGAACCAGGAGAGTCAGTATCCATATTTGAGTGGACTTTGGTCAGTTTTTCAACGATGGACTGTGTACTTTCTTGAAATGAACATGTTTCCCTGGGATGAATAGACAGAAACCACACACATTTTGTACATTTATATTAGGTAATCTTTGGGTAAAAAATTCATAAACCATCATATATTACTGAAGGACTTCCTGTCCTAAAGTGTCTTATTACCAGAATACAAAATGATGGATTTCTCTCCATTCACATTATCCTTGTGAGGTATTTTTTTAATGTATTTTTTTTCTTTTTACCATCGACTTCCAAGAGAGATAAATCTGGAAACCAACTAGTAAAAAATAGGTCTTATAGATAATAACTATGGCCAACGGCTATATCATTGTATATATTACATTTAAGGGTAGGACAGAGTGTTTTAACGTTATGATACATGCACATGTGTATTCTAGCAATACTCATTATTGATTGGCCAATTGATATGACATCACATTCATTCATTGTTGAGAACCATACAACATAATGTCATCAATTGCTCATGATGTCATCCATTGTTCATGATGTCACCAACAGATTGCATTATGTCATCTGAATCATAGGACGCTTTCAGTGAAGTTTAACAAAGGGGTTGTCGTTTCATATTTTACTAATATATATGTTTTACTAATATATATGTTTTCTGATGAAAGAGACGTCCAGAAAAAAGGAGCAGTACTGGGACCACAGACAACCCAGCAGTGCCAAGTACGTAGTGGGCCAACCAGGGCTTGACATTATCATAAGTCCATCTGGGACTGGTAAATATAAGGAAGGACTAGGGATATTTTCTGTTGCAGAGTTGTCATCTACATATTGGTAAAAGTGGTAGTCCACATGTCACTAGCGGACTCGTGTTAACATCGAAATGAGCAGCTCTTCACAAATTGTTTTCCTTATTGTTTACAAAACAGTATTGATATATATATGTAATATGTTTAACTTTATTATAGGAAATCCTTTATCATCTTTATGAGGTCTGATCATGATTTGCTGTGTCTTAGAATGCAAAAATTGTGATAAGAAACATTATTTTAAAAGGAATAATCAAATAGTTCTTTTTTCCATATGTTAAAATGAGAATACATTTATGCAGTTTTACTCCAAATTTGTGTATGTGATATATATTGTGCAATCAACAATGTTTTGTGATAAATATTGAAGTCAGCCCGATGGTGTTGTCAATATGCCTGAAGGTGTTGAACTCTTCCTTCCAGACGAGGCAGCCATGCAGGATCAGTTCCCCCCAGGCCAGATTCCACCCTAGTGCGGCGGACACCCACGCCAACCAAACAGATTTCACTACAGGCAGTCAGGCGGAAAGAAGAAAGGTAAATAGACCCTGGTTGTCTTGGTGTACAGTAATAATTTAAGAGGGTACAACATGACTCTTGTCATTCATGCCATCTAGAGTAATAACTTTGAGTTCTAGACTCCGTTTAACAGTTCTGTGTCCAGTAATGTACACTCCGAGTCGAGAAATAGATTCTGTTTTTCAAACATATGATCAGATTTGTAACTGCTTACAAGATCATGATTAAACATAAGGTTGATACCAATGGTGGACCAATCAAAGTGTTAGATTCTATAAGTAAGGTGAAGAACTGGTTACACAGGTGTTTCAGTGTGACGGCCTCTATGTGTTTGTCGTATTTTGACAGAGAGGACCCTCTGGTAGCTGATGTTGATTGGAAGGAAATACAGTCTCAGAGAAGGAACAAGGGGAGGTAAGTGCGTAGCTGATGTTGATTGGAAGGAAATACAGTCTCAGAGAAGGAACAAGGGGAGGTAAGTGCGTAGCTGATGTTGATTAGAAGGAAATACAGTCTCAGAGAAGAAACAAGGGGAGGTAAGTGCGTAGCTGATGTTGATTGGAAGGAAATACAGTCTCAGAGAAGGAACAAGGGGAGGTAAGTGTGTAGCTGATGTTGATTGGAAGGAAATACAGTCTCGGAGAAGGATCAAGGGGAGTTAAGTGTGTAGCTGATGTTGATTGGAAGGAAATACAGTCTCAGAGAAGGAACAAGGGGAGGTAAATGTAGCTGATGTTGATTGGAAGGAATTACAGTCTCAGAGAAGGATCAAGGGGAGGTAAGTGTGTAGCTGATGTTGATTGGAAGGAAATACAGTCTCAGAGAAGGAACAAGGGGAGGTAAGTGTGTAGCTGATGTTGATTGGAAGGAAGAGCGCTAAAGCAATTCAAGGAAAACCAGTTGTTTTGAGAGGATTTTCTGCCTCATATATTTCACTTGGGTGTTTTATATTGGAAATATGCTTGAATGTTTTCCGTGGATACATGGCATATCTAACATGTCTAACGACAAGGTTAAGTTATTAATTGGGTAATGATTAGACTTTTTAAGTTTCAGCTTAAAAATAAGATGTTATGTTATCAGAAGAGCTTAGAACTGTTCACATATTTATCTTTATAGGAAGAACGACTCTTTGACAGAAAAGTTCCAGGAGCTAGATGTTGCAGATAAAGACCTGACTCCCACAGAGCAATCTTCCATATCTTCCTCACATTCATCTAGACATCACAGTACGTGGAGTTGCTATATCTAGTCTTCTTATCTCTTGTTGGGTCTTAGAGACATGAGGTCCTGGTTCTTCGTATTTCCTGTAAAATGTGGATTGGTTGGTAACAATGACTGCTAAAATGCAGTCTGCAGCTTCAGCCAACAGTCCAAAGTCTGAGTCTTGTAAAAACTAATTGTTCATTTATAAAATCTACTGAAAATGTCAACAGATAAGTTTGGGCTAGCAGAAGCAGATCACGTTTTTACCTCACTAGGTGATCTCTGTTACTTGTGAATATTAGGGTTAGTACACTGTATATTGCTGACTGACACCTGTTTACTTGCTCCCCCCTTCATTCTGTACTCCACACCTTGTGTTGAGTGAGATCTGTTGGATACAATGACTGGTTGATCACCATTGCTGGTGCTCACTGGCCTGGCCCACTTCATTAAGCAATTAATGCTACATTAAAGCACAGTCGGCACCTTTGATCTTTTAGCATAGCATCTTAGAATCAGACTTCAAGGCTGCCATGATATAGCTGCAGTATTGCTGGCCCTGGTTCAGACTTCAAGGCTCAATGATATAGCTGTGGTATTGCTGGTCCTGGTTCAGACTTCAAGGCTCAATGATATAGCTGTGGTATTGCTGGCTCTGGTTCAGACTTCAAGGCTGCCATGATATAGCTGTGGTATTGCTGGCCCTGGTTCAGACTTCAAGGCTGCCATGATATAGCTGCAGTATTGCTGGCCCTGGTTCAGACTTCAAGGCTGCCATGATATAGCTGCAGTATTGCTGGCCCTGGTTCAGACTTCAAGGCTGCCATGATATAGCTGCAGTATTGCTGGCCCTGGTTCAGACTTCAAGGCTGCCATGATATAGCTGCAGTATTGCTGGGCCTGGTTCAGACTTCAAGGCTGCCATGATATAACTGCAGTATTGCTGGCCCTGGTTCAGACTTCAAGGCTGCCATGATATAGCTGCAGTATTGCTGGCTCTGGTTCAGACTTCAAGGCTGCCATGATATAGCTGTGGTATTGCTGGCCCTGGTTCAGACTTCAAGGCTGCCATGATATAGCTGCAGTATTGCTGGCCCTGGTTCAGACTTCAAGGCTGCCATGATATAGCTGCAGTATTGCTGGCCCTGGTTCAGACTTCAAGGCTGCCATGATATAGCTGCAGTATTGCTGGGCCTGGTTCAGACTTCAAGGCTCAATGATATAGCTGCAGCTTGCTGGCCCTGGTTCAGACTTCAAGGCTCAATGATACAGCTGTAATACTGCTGACAGCAACTTAGAACAATACTTACTTTCTCACTCTATTGTGAAGTCAAACTTCTAAATGCTACAACTAAAGTCAATTAAAATCTGACAAATGTGCCTGTGTGTTCAGATTGTTCACATCACCATGAAGAAAAGACAGCTGAAACCAGTGACAGATCCAGAGAAATCAAAGAAACAAAGTAAGATATACACCATGTCCACATGATTATCTCATCTTTACCTTAATTTTGTCATTACATGCTCGAGTCATGCATGGGATTGTGGGAAGGTGTAGGTCCCAAGTGTGACATGCTTGTAATCAAAGGCTGACTAAAGAGCATTGGACAGTCTATCTCTGTGACTTGTGAGGGGTGGTGGGGTAGCCTAGTCATTAAAGCGTTTGCTGAAGATCCAGGTCGTTTGCACACATGGGCACAATGTGTGAAGCCCATATCTGGTCATATTGCTGGAATATTGCTAAAAGCGGCGTAAATCTTTACTCACTCACTCACTCCAGGGTTAGAAACTAACAGTTTTTGTCCACTAATCCTTATAATGATAACATATAGCAAACCCCCCTAAAAAGGGCAAATTTCTAGAAGTCCTTATGATACCTTTACTTTTGGGCAGTTTGGCAAGGACTACAGGACTAGTGCCAATTTATAACGCTGCACTCACTCTGTGACTTGTTGTCATAATGCCCTGATTGTGGGGATCGTTGCTCATGCTTATTGTCACTAGGCTTCCTGGTTCTGACTCCTGGCCACCGTGATACAGCTGGAATATGGCTGACTGTGGCTTTCTGCCCCCCTTCTGCACTCACTGAAAACCATGCTGGAATATCTCAGTATCAACTGATTGTGTGTCATTGCACCCTTCATGCATTCAGACTTGTACAGCCGCTGTGATAAAGCTGGGACACTGCTGACTGTGGTGTTGAACGGGCTATGCTGGGATCTCTCAAAATCAACACCTTTAGAGGACAAAATTCTGTTATGATATGAATGATATGATGTCATTTGTAAATGATTTACCATTATTGACCCTCCCCCAAAATGAAATTATGTTTACGGCACGCACCCCTGAAGCCTGTCATGATATCCTTAGGATTCTTTTCTGTTTTTGGTGTGTAGAAAAGTCGTCCGAGAGGGGATGTCATTTGAGAGTGAGCAAGATGGGGGATCGGCAGCTGTCGGTGGGAGGGTGGCCAGTAGTGATGACAGTGACTCAGACGACTCGGAGGATGAGGACAAGAAGGCTCCCAATCAGCTGCTTATGGAGGTCAGTGATGGGGAGTCGGATGGGAAGTCGGAGTGTGTGTGTGTGTATACTGACACAAGATTACTGATTGACAAACCAATTATTTTTTCTACATTACCTGTTGTAGATTGCTAATCCAGATTTTCTGGGTCAAAGGTCATTGATGTTCTGGTTGTAAAGATGTTATGTTAAATATTCCCCATATCCACAAATTTCAATTTCAAATACATTCAAAGTTTTGTTATTTTAATATATAGGTATACTGTTATTCCGATAGGGGCACAGATGTAGATGAACTTGTTTTCAGAAATTCTCACTGAGCATTGATTCTGATTCAAGGCGATTGGCTAGTTTGTACGAGTTGTTCCATGGTGTTCCCGGGTTCGATTCCCGACATGGGTACAATGTGTGAAGCCCATTTCCGGTGTCCCCAGCCATGATATTGCTGGAATATTGCTAAAAGCGGCGTTAAACCATACTCACTCACTCACTCACTCCTTGCCAATACTCGGGCAGTACAACAAGTAGTTCACTTGTGACAGATAATCTGTAAGTCTTTATAGCATATATATTTTTTCTAATTAGCCATAGTTTGAAACAAACTGAGTGTGGGTAACTTATGATGCAGATAATGGATTTTGTCAGTTGGAATATATTACGGTAGTGGAAATTTTTCCAATCTTTCACAACAGTTTAAGTGAATGTTTTACAGTATAATTCAAATATCTTTTCTTTTGTGATTCATGTTTTATTTATTCTTTTTTATTTTTTTATTTATTTTTTTTTCAGTTTGTGTCCTGCTTGATGGAGAAGGATTATCTCAATGCGCAGAAGCTTTGTAAAATGAGTATGTATTCATAATGGCAGGAGCACAGTAGCCATGGTTAATGTTTTGTCCATTGATTCCAAGGGAAGTTGTCATTTAGCTCATTGATAGCTGGAAAGTAAAACTTTAATTTAGCCTTAGTCCTCTCATCAAAAGTAGATTGACAACTCATCCTCTTACAAACTTTGTAAACGGCTCTCTGTCTCAAGCAGTTTAAATATATGTTGTGAAATATCTCTTTCCAGTTTTGCTCTATGAACCTGACAATGCTGAAGCACTGAAGTTTCAACCATTGATTGATGAAAAAATAGAACTAGGTAAGTAGAACAGGCACAGAATTCTTTCATTATGCATGACTTTTGGTCTGCATGATGATAGAGAGCAGATACTTGCACTACTATTGCAAGCCAATGTTAAAGTATGTGAGTTTCAATCATCTTAGCGCTAAGATCGCTTTGTCCAAGTGGGCCCTGGACCTTAAATCTGATGATCTTTCTAAAGGTATCTGGAGGGATGGCAGAACAGAGATATCTATGTTGTACATTTAATCAATTTAATTTGTTACATAAGCTGATAAGGATGTTATTCACACTCAGTTGTTGAATTCAAGCCATGACCACTTTCTTAGTTCTACCATGACATTTTAGAACCCTACATTCTGATTGGTTTGCTAGTTGTATCGAATCTATACGTCATACCATGACTTTTCTGATGACCACAAATCTTTCACAAATCCAACTAGTTAACAACTTCATATACTGATTTAGCTTCATAAACATTGTGAGTCCTAGAATATTCAAAGAAAGTCTGGCAATGTTATATAGCATGAAAACCAGACCTACAGTGACTAAGAAATAAGATTATGAAATTCAGCCACATCCAAACACTCACTTGCATGTGGCGCTACTCTATAACATACTGTGACCTCTTGTCTTTTGTTTGTAGATGTTGTTACCGCATAATTGTGGTGTTTATTTCCGAAATAAATTTTCAAAGTTGTGAACCGTATGAACACTCTAATGCTTACATGGCATCTGTGCTAGATGGTGTTGAGACACTGTGTAAATACTGGTTGCTGTATATGAAATTGAAAATACGTGGAATAAAACCTAACACCACTTATCCCTGAATTGGACAATTCCTCCTTTTGAAAATACAGTCAAGTCTCGTTAATTAGACACTCGTTAATTATCCGACACTAATGATGGGAACCGATTAAATCAGTGCTATTTAGACCTGTTAATCCGACAGTCTCTCACTCCGACTCCCTACACCTAATTTGCAATGAATTACCGAAATCACTCATTAATCAGTCTCGTTAATCCAACACAGTGATCAGCGTACTCTGCGGTCATCTGCCCGCGAGTACACAGCCCGTGTCATACAGTCCGTAACAGTTGTTTTGTGTTGAGCTTTAGAGGTTGCATGATTAGAAAACATATTTCGCTAACAATGTAACATAACAATATGAATATTTCATTTTTAGTTTTTTATTACGTGTTTGTATCGTTATCTATCGTGCAGTTGTCCGATTTTCGATCACAAATGTTGATTCTACTTAATTTTGTTTATCCGACATACTCGTTAATCCAACATAATCATATGCAAACAACCATGTCGGATTAACGGGACTTGACTATATTTGACTCTCATCACTTTCTCTATTACCAAATTTAGAGGCTTTAAAATCTGTCAGTATTTTTTTTTTTATATTGAAAACTTGAGTTTGGAAGAAAATTTATAGGTATCACATCTATGTTAAAAACCTCTAAATTGATAACATTGTAGATTTGTCTCCTAAATATATATCTTCAGATCATTAAACAGTTAATGTTTATCTCCTCAGTAGAGCTACTACTTAATGTAGATTATGGTGTGTTTGTAGACCAGGAGGAGGAAGAGGCAGGGAGTGCCGATTCTGATGATGAAGGTTGTGATGAAGATGGGGAGGACGGGGAAGGTGACAGTGATGATGACAGTGAGGACAGTGATGACGACAGTGACAGTGATGGTGACTCTAGGTGAGGAGCTTTGATAGACTAACATCTAGTCTCTGAAATGAACATATCGTACAGAAAAAACAGTTGCTCAGTTATCTTAATAAAAATATAATAAAAAGGGAGCCCAGTGATTCTCTTCATTTTCATTCTCTGTGCTCGCTTATGAATTCAGCAGATTTGTACAGACCCTGATACTGCAGTAATCTAGACTTGCCAAACATTATAGACTTGCATGGGCTGTATTTGATTTGATTTATATTTGTATCAGGGTCTGTAAGACAGACTAGAGCTTTGATTATGTTTCTTGATCTGTCAGCACCATACTGGTTTGTTTCAGCAAAGTGGTAAACTTCTTAGACCTGTATCACTTCGGAACTTTGTACAGTGACACACCCTGATATTACTGAAATACTGTTTAAAGTGACCAAGTTCACTCACTCAAAGACGTGATATACATTCTCACTCATTCATGGACATGATATACATTCTCACTCATTCGTGGACAGGATTTACATTCTCACTCATTCATGGACAGGATATACATTCTCACTCATTCATGGACAGCATTTACATTCTCACTCATTCATGGACAGGATTTACAATCTCACTCAAAGACATGATATACATCCTCACTCATTCATGGACAGCATTTACATTCTCACTCATTCATGGACAGCATTTACATTCTCACTCATTCATGGACAGGATTTACATTCTCACTCATTCATGGACAGAATTTACATTCTCACTCATTCATGGACAGAATTTACAATCTCACTCATTCATGGACAGAATATACATTCTCACTCATTCATGGACAGAATTTACAATCTCACTCATTCATGGACAGAATTTACATTCTCACTCACTCATAGACAGAATATACATTCTCACTCACTCATGGACAGAATATACATTCTCACTCATTCATTCACATGATATACAATCTCACACATTATTTCTCAGAAAATTCCATTTCTGATTTCAGTGACTCAGATTCTGATTCTGATGACGATGACGATGGCGATGAACAACAGGAAGACAGATTGGATTCTGGGATTGCATCAGCTGCAGGCTCAGTACACTTTGGCATGTGATTGGTCATATGAAGGATTGGAAACATTTTGCTCAAACTGTTGTGCCTCAAGGCACCTTTTTACACAGGATTAAAGTATCTGTTGCTTTGCTTACATCATCTAATGAACTAACATGTGTAACATGGAGTTTACTGACTGTTGACTCCATGATGAGTGATCAGCTGTTGTGTGGAGCATATTGTCAGTGTGTATGTATGTGTGTGCATTTGGTGCACTTGTCAGGGCACATGAAGAAATGGACTGTGACGTAATTATATGTTATTCATCCAGTGTAAGTATTGCACATAATAACACTATTTGTTGCTGTGTATTGTATATGTGGAGATTTAATGTCAGTTCATGTTTGCTGCAACTGAACCAAAACACTACATAACATCAGAGACCAAGGGTGATACGTCTTTAATATTAGTAGCATTTGGTTTCTGATAAACATTCCGTCCAAATAGCAATTCCATCCAAAATTGTTTTTGTTTTTTTAATTTAATTTGAATATAACTGAACATACAAATAAATTCAATGTATGATATTTTTATTTTTGTTTTTTGTTTTTGAATGTGCATCAAGTGAGTTTGGTTTAACACCGTTTGAACTGTATTTCAGTTGTATTGTGTGTAAACTTGGTGTTGGAAGAGAGCCTGAGTTGATGCAAGTCTCAGACGTTAACCACCTTGCTGAAACCCACGAGCATGGGTGTGGTGCTGACAAACCTAGAAACATAATCAGGGCAAAGCGGGATGCAAAGCTGCAATCATACGTTTCTTGTGTGCCTAAGAGATGCAAATGTCAATTTGGGCACCCATGACTGGGTCCACTTGCCCCATGTGTGCATGAGGACCCTGCTCCAGTCTACAGAGTGCCGGTTGGATTGATGCCGCATCTTACAGGATAAGATTCACTTGTTTCCCAAATTGAAACAATATGTTAACTCAGAAATCTCTACGTAAAAGAACTTAGTGAAACCGTCTAAAACCAACAAATGGTATACAATCAACAATTGTATTACACAATTAACTAGGTTTACCAATCAAAACAAATTACTGCACAGCAATTACAATGGCAGTATGCAATAGAGTGGTAGTACATTATTCAGTGGCAGTATCAAATACAAAGTATGATGGCAGTGGTGATAGCAAAATGTTCAGTTGTAATAATATTCACCTATCTCTAACAGTGGTCAAGCTTTGGAGATAGGCCCAGAATCGGAATCTGGGTGGTAAGTGATCTTCACATGAAAGCTGGTCTTGATGTAATGTCAGATCAAATGTGAGATGAGATAGGGAAGTGCCCGCTCTACTTATATAGTCTAACCAGTAGGGCTAGGATGGGTAACTTGGGTACTCGGGTGGGTGTGAGTACAGAGAAGGACCTGGGTACCCACAGGACTACCCGGACCAGTTATTAGTCATGTGATATACTGTTTAATGACAAAACGTATCTAGAACTCTATGGTTACACTACATGGCACTCATGTTAGCATTTCTGTCTGAATTTGCACCCATTCCTTCTGACTTTTATATGTTTGAAAAAAGATAACCCTTAAGTCAACTTCAGTGTATGTATGACCAGATCATTTTATACCTTTATCTAAATACATTTTGTCTAGGGCTGTTACCAAACTATTCCTAATCGGACATTTTGTACCTATCTCTTGAGACCTACAGCGGTTACTCGGGTATGGTCGGGTAATAGGGGATAGGGTACCCGGGTAGTAAATTTGGACTCCCAGCCCTACTAACTAGCTTCTAGCACTTTGTACACAGTACCACGCCAGTCCAGTGTCCCTTGAACATTACAGAATATTCCACATTTCTATTACACTTGACATCCAACCATTCGATTCTGGAAGTTTACAGATAAATCATGCATCTAAATATAATAATTTCCTCACCACTGCTTACATTAAATAGTACTACATTCCTGACAACTAATCATTGTCCAAATACAATGCAATGAATTTCTACTGAATCTCAACAGAAACAATGTAATACAGTTACAATCAATGTTTACCAATAAATTACACTACCATATAACACATTGCAGATGGGTGTGTGAGTGAATGTTTTTTGAGCCTGCACTCTGCAATGTACAACTAGATCATGTTGCACAGTGCCCTCATACACAGGCAACAGTCTAGGCCATCTGTATGTTGACCCACAATGAGCCAAGTCACAGAGTCGGACCACCCAATCATCAATATCAAGGCCATCTGGTTGTGACTTGCCTGTGTCATCATTACCCAGATGCTCATTGTATCAACCACTGATCACAGTCCCAAACCAATGATGAATTTGACAGGCCACCTTGATATGAAAGGCTGTTATGTTGGTGGCTGGGGCATTTAACACTGGCTTGCCCACAGGAAGCATGAGGTAAGAAAACTCAGGGAAGATTGACAGAGCTGGGGACATCCTCCTCTATAGCTATATCAATGTATGGACCTGTGAAGATCCAGGGACAGTAGGTCTTCAGCAACCCATTCTTGATGTAAACGGTGACTAAGAGGCAATATTTTTGATTTAGATATACCGGTATATTATACTGTTAAAAGCGGCGTTAAACCCAACTCACTCATTCACCTATTGCGTTGATCGATGCTCATGATGTCAATCACTGGATTGTCTGGTCCAGACTCGATTATTTACAGACCGCCGCCATACAGCTGGGATATTTCTGAGTGCGGCGTTCAACGACAAACAAGCAAACAAAACATGCATTAAACTGACATGCATATCATGATATGGGAATCCAGCGGAGGATGCCATTACACACAATCACCACGTGTCCATCGTCTCCGACACAATAGCCATGTTCAGTCTTCAAGTATAACCGGGGACACGGGTGGCCCAGTCGTCTAAGGCGCCGCGATTCGCTGTGCAGAGTTGCGTCCCGTGGACACGCCAGAAACCTATGATTGTGGGTTAGAATCCCGGTTCGCCCCGATTATGTTTCTAGGTTTGTCAGCACCATACCCGTGCTCGTGGGTTTCACCAAAGTGATAAACGTCTGAGACCTGCATCACTTCGGGCTTTCCTCCCACATTAAGCTGGAATACTGTTAAAAGCGGCGTTAAACACAACTCACTCACTCACTCAAGTATAACCAGGTTTGTATGTTTCTTGTTGATACACCATTGTTTCGCGAAATGTGAAATGTGAGTACATCATGCAACTTTATGGCTCGTATACTGTACCTGACATTGATTTACCCGTGTGTTCAAAGCAACAACATGTTGTTCAGTGCAATATGCATTCACACGCATAGAATATTTATTTAAACGACATGCTTGTAATTGGTTCAGAAAATCAATAATGTATCTGAAATACATGTACAACCACACCAACGTCTCGGCTAGAGTGAGTATGGTTTTACGCCGCTTATAGCAATATTCCAGCAATATCATGGCAGGGGACAGCAGAAATGGGCTTCACACATTGTACCCATGTCGGGAATCGTACCAGGGTCTTCGGGCGAACGCTTTAACCACTAGGCTACCCGACCGCCTCGTCTCGGCTAGACTGACACATAGTCCCCGAAATACAGTTATGTCTAAAGTTGTATAAAATGTTGTTGTAGAAGGGATGGGAATGGAAGGGGTGAATCTTGTTTTCAATACATATTGGCCTGTAAGAGAGATTATATATACATCGCGTTTGAAAAATCAAACAATATTAAGAGTCCAGGTTCAGATGGGTATCCCTATGAGTTTTATCATTTTTTTTCTGGAATTTTGTATCACCCTTCCTTTGGAGGTCCCTGAACTATAATTTTTCCAATGGCTATGTATCTGTCATACACAAAAATTCGTTCCTAAAGGGGATAAGCCCAAACGTTTTCTGAAGAACTGGAGACCAATTTCTTCACTCATCATACAAACCTTTCCCTCTGCTATTGCTGAAAGGATTAATTTGTTCTTCCTATATTGATTAGTACTGATCAAATCTATTTCATTTATATTTGTGATAATATAAGATTGATATATGATTTAATGAACTATACAGAATCTGACAACATTTCCGGGATGTTCTTAATAGACTTTGAGAGGGCTTTTGAATCTGTTGCGTGTTTTTTTATTAACAAAACTTTGTCTTTCTTTGGCTTTGGCAATATTCTGTATAATAATATCAAATCTTATTTAACAGATGCTATATTTGGGATAACACTTTCTCAGTAAAATACAGATTCTCGTGTGAGGCACCTAATCGCCAGCACACAAAGTCAGCGATCTAACCAAATGTGCCACCGAGGCTTCCACAAAATGAAAGTTCGACAACTGGTAGTCTAGATAACGTATTTTGTGTACCCCTCTGACAAGTGTAAACTGGTACGGCTTCCACGGCCAAAAGCTATGAACACACAATGCTATTTAGAAAGTGGTCAAATGTGACAGATGTTATTTTTTGGATAACACTTTCTCAGTAAAGTACATATTCTCGTACCTATTTGGGTTGAGTCCTGTCCGGGATTCGAACCGACACTGCCAGAGTGAGTTGAACGGACGGGACTCAACCCCCAAAAGTACGAGAATCTGTACTTTACTGAGAAAGTGTTATCCCAAATATAACATCTGTTACATTTGACCACTTTTTAAATGGCATTTTGTGTTCACAAATCCTATTTAATTATCAATGGCACATTGTCTCCTTGGTTTCCTGTTAAAGATGGCTGTAAGCAAGGCGACCCACTGTCTCCCTATGTCTTTATCTTGAGTGTTGAAGTTCTGGCTGGACTTGCCAAGAGGAATGTGAATATCAAAGGAGTTAGTATATGGGATGAAGAGCACCTGTTAACACAGTATACAGATGACACAGAGTTTATACTAGACGACTCTCAAGAATTTATTGAAGCCACGAGTTTACACATTGAACATGTTTGCTGATATGTCAAGCTTAAAATTTAACTATGACAAATTTCAAGTAAAATGGATAAGCGCCGAGAAGTAGTTTAGTTACGTATTTGACCAGTTTAAAAATTGAGAGGAATCCAGAATATTTTAAGTTACTAGGAGTTACCTTTTCAACAGACTCAAGTGTCATGTTTTTTTTAATTCAATTAATTATAAACAGATGTCTGAAAAGAATAAATACTTTTCTTTGTTTTATCAAGACCTTGCTCATTTCAAAATTGAATTATCTATTTCTTACATCCCCTGACCCTCCTGGTCATTATCTGAAAGAGTTGAATAAACTGTTATTTCAATTTCTTTGGAATGGAAAACCAGATACGATTAAAAGAGCTCTGATATGTAAACCTGGGAAGGAGGGTGGACTTGGTATGACGGAATTATTTTCCATGTAAATTCTCTGAATCTGTCTTGGAAGGGAAAACTGTTGGACATCACAAATGAATCTAAATGGAAAATGTCGTTTTTTACTTCTTTACCTCACTGTTAAAATCTATCTGTGTTTGGCAATGCTTATCCAGCTTAAACGTTCAAGGAAATCAATAATGCTTTTTGTTTGGACACTGTAATTTCCTTTGATACGTTTTCACAGAAAATACAGCCTGAATCATTGGATGACTTGATCACGGAGCCTCTCATTCACACCCATCGCCATTGGTAAAGAGATTATCGTCTATAAATGATTTGATAGAGGTGTCAGCCAAGTACTAGACTTTATTAACCCTGAAGAGACTAACACTTGAGCAAGTCCAATACCCCATTGAACTTAATGTCAACTTCCTTCGTTATCATGGGTTAATGAAAGCTATAAAGAAATACCAAGATAAGCTGAAAGTAAGTAAACCCACATCTTTTGCCCAAATGTACGATAATCGTGTCGTCAGGAAACTACAATCAGTTATGAAAGGAGTAAAGTGTTATTTTTTCTTTCTTGAATGCATCTGATACCCACCTTACATTTTAAGGTTGGGAGGAATGTGTTCCTGTGCTGAATTAGAGTGGGAAAAAGTATTTGTAAAATCACTTCCGACTACCCTAGATACCAATTTAGATGGTTTCAGTTCAGAATTGTTCACAGGATTATATCAACTAACTCATTTTTGTAAATCAAGTTATCAGATGTCAATGTATGCTCTTTTTGTGAAGTTGAAACAATTACCCACTTATTCTAGGAGTGTAAACAAGTTCCAGGTGTCTGGCAATCGCTATTAAGCCTACTTAATGAAACGTGTCCACATATCCACAATTTGAAATTTGACCTTCAGCTCATTCTGTTTGGTTTGAAGGAATATATATATGTATATATATCTTGATGATGTATTTGACCTATTATTGCTTCTGGCCAAATTCTTTATTTAGAAATGTACCGTTTTGAAAACAACCCTAAATTTTAATCACTTTAAACGTTATATTGACAACAAGTATATAATTGAACAAATATTGACAAGGCTGCGTTTTGAGCCCTGTCTTATTTATATTCTTTATTAATGCGCTTATGTTGGAAATGTATGCTGCTTGCGATCATGGTATATTTGTTACCCAAAATATTGAAGATCTGATGTTACTCTTATTTCCCGAAAACATTGTGCTTTTCTCGTGTACTGTTCGGGGCTTGCAGAGCCAGCTAGATGTTTAATTATACATACTAGTATTGTTTTAAATGGGGATTGTGTGTAAATATTGATAAATCAAATGTTATTGTATTTAGAAATGGAGGGATAATAACCAAGTATGAAGCATGGACACTGGATAATGTCAAGATAAAGACGGTAACGTACTATAAATATCTTGGAATAATGTTCTCCCCACGGTTAATATGGTCTACAGCATGTGAAACCCTTGCCTTGCAAGCACGGAAGGCAATAGGGCCTGTTTTTCATGTGTTTAGTAACAACAGATTCATAGATTTCTCGACTGCTTGTAAAATATTTGACAGTAAAATCGCTCCAATATTGATGTATGGTTCGGAAATATGGGGTATTAAATATTATGATACAATTGAAAAGATACAAACATGCTATTTCAAACCTTTTTGTATTCTGGGTGAAATTGGACGTCATTGCATGTTTATAAATACGCAAATAAGGGTAATTAAGTACTGGATTAAACTTTTGCAAATGAATGTAAGTCGATACCCGTTCCAAAGTTATGTTATGCTTAAAGTATTAGATGAGAATGAAAAAGTCAATTTGGCATCGTATGTAAGGCAAATGTTATTCAATAGCGGTTTTGCGTATGTGTGGTTATTTCAAGATGTTGGTGATAAGAACATGTTTTTATCTGCATTTAGAAGACGCTTAAAAGATATATTTCCAATCATGGTACCACAGTTTAGAGTCGTCTACCTTTTTAGTGCATTATGCTAATACAAAATCTCTCCTGCAACCCGAATTGTTAGAGCAATGTGTAAATTTCGAATATCTCTTCCCAACTTTCGAGTCAACATTATTCGTAACAGGTCATTGTTAAATATACCTCATTCAGAATCGTATATGTAATGAATGTGACCTTCATTAAGTAGAGGATGAAAACCATGTCTTTTTCGTATGTAAGAAATATATTCACTTTTTTAACCTCATTACAGAAATATTATAAAGGTAATATTACGTTTGTAAATTTATTTAAATCATATGATATTAATGTACTACGCTTGACAGCTTTATATTTATGTAAATTATTCAAAATGAGATCGACAGAGATGTAACACTCGGACATGTGACCTAAAATGTTTTTTAACTTACAACTGTACTATGGGTCATGTGGCCTGAATTACGAAATTAACTTGATTGAATGATTTAAATTAATAATTATTACCTTAGAGACTTGTGCAAGTCTAATCGTAATGAAATAACAGGAAGTACATCTCTGACAATGTATTTAGTACTTATTGCGGAGAAGAATTAGTTTGTCCTATGCGAGGATCGGGTGGTGACAATGACATATCTGTAAGGCCGATTCTTGCCACGTCTCATCATACCCCGATGGCAAGTAACGTTGCTCGTGTTATCAACCTCTAGTTGCCTGGTTGCATGAAGTTCCGGGTTAGCAGTTGCCCCCCTGGAATGTTTATAGAAAACATTTTTCCTTGTGAAAGTTAACTTGAATAAGAAATGAATAATCTTATTTGCCCCCCCCCCCCCCCCTTCCGATCACACCGATGGAGATTGTAACGGCAATAATTAGGTTTATGTAGTTTGACACTAACTAATGTAATTGTCTTAGAAACAGAAAGATGATAAAAGCAGTCTTTACATTTTATACTTTCGTAGATAAAATGTTTGATATGTTCCAAAAGGTTACATTCCGCGTAAATCAATGAACAATGACTAGTGGTATGCCAACCACCAATCGTTTAGCATTACCTCCCTTATTGCTATGGTGTCATGACAGAAAATGTCATCTGCAAGAAAATAAGAAAAACGAGGTGATTTAGGTGATTATAACTCTTTTATTATTGAATACCTCCTAGTGTGTGTAAACACTATGCAGCATTACATATTACTCTGAGCAGTATTTGACTTATGCGGTAGTTTGTGGTCACTGGCATCCTTACATCAAAGAAAGTGTGCAACTCACGAGCCCAATTTCTCATTTTCTGTCTGACAAACCGCTAGTGAAGTTCAGTGCGTACGTCTTCTGTAATAAAGTTCATGAAATGCAAGTATTAACATAAGTAACTTACTCATAAAATATCCAGATGCTCAAAGGTGAAACTCATAAATATTAGTTAAATGCGTGTGATACGCTGGTATCCGGGACCGTTATGTTGTTGTTGTGAATAAATTATACACGTAATTGTTTCCTTATGGCTTTAACACTTGGTCGTCATTATTGACGTGCTCCTCAGTAAGATGCAGTTTAAACTTTACTATGTCGTCTTTAGTTCATGGCTAACCTTATTTCTTGTGGTGGTAGTGTTTGTATTTTAATTTGGATTGGAATGTGCTAATGAGAGTGTGCTTGGCACAGCGTCAGTATCTCTGTGTGAGTTGAATTTAATGCCAGAGCATACCTTTAGAGTTTAGCAGCATGCAGAAAACTCACAGCCACGTCAGCTTGTGTGCTGATGTAACTGTCACAAACACAAAACAAATGATCACAATAAACTCATCACCTGTTTGTAAAAATCTTTCAAGATGGAATCTGAATGGCACCAGGAGCACCTGTAATATGGTTAGGTGGGGTGGTCTTGGTTTGTCTGACTCTTAAGATACTTTATCCTGATTTTCAGCTTCTCTAGGAGTCTTCGTCTGATCAGGTTTCAGACTCTCTCAATTTTGCTATGTTTTCCGATCATCAGTAACCATGGTGGTCACCGGGGCTTCATTTGCCATCCTTGCACTGGCAGTCTGCATTTTTGACCCCAAGTCATCTGTTGATTCAGATGGTGTCACATTTCTGAGACTGTACAAGAACAGGATGGTGAAGTGGGATTTCCAGTTTGTGCTGGCTCTTAAGTTCAGCTATAGGTTTTCGATCTACCTGTGGCGCAATGGCTCCCCACAGGTTTCTACCACGGAAATCTTCCTCCATCATCATAAACTGTCCACATCTCGTCATTGATGCGTACAAGATGTGTTTTGATGCCTCCCTTCATGCATTTAGCCCATGAGCCTGTGATATGTCCTCTCCACAACTGTTTGCTGAAGATGTTTATACACCAAATTCAGCCAACAAAGTTACCCATTGATGGACAACATGTCAGTGTGTGGCTTCCTCCAAACTTGTGTCTAAGAGTTGTACCATCACTGGCCAAGATTAAGAAGGCCAAGGGTCATGGTTGTCATGACATTCAAAGTGTGGTCAGTGGGAAGCACATGGCTTGGTGTAACAGGAATTGTGGAGATTAAACTTTGCATGTATGTTATCTCAGCAAGTGAAATCTGATGAATAAAAAATAATTTGTGATATCTTCACATCTTGATAAATTATTTGGGGGAAATAAATAGTCTAACACTTCTTGTCTATGAAAACATGTTTTAACATAATTGATTTTTTCTTCCAAAGAACCTTTCCTCTTCTGCTGTGGAATCAAGGAAACTAGTCTCAGTTTAGTTTGATGTAGACTTGCCTAGGCTTTTAGTAAAAATATATATCCATATATTATACACAGTCATGGCACAGGACTAGAAACAGAAGTGTCTTGGCCCTTACTTCAGTTTCAAGCCATGGGTTGAGGGTGTTCCTGACTTCTCTTGCTATGTAATTGACATCCATTAATAGCATATTCAAATAAGGCTGAACAGATGAAAAGAGGACAATAATAATCTGTAATGAAAAAAATGACTTATTTATAGTCGGCTGAAGGCAAACTTGGCTGTTCACCATCATAAATTATGCATACAGTTGGTCAAACTGAAGGACAACAAGTTATATGCCGAGACAAACTTAACACTGAACACATAACAATTATTCGGATATTCGAGAATTGACTTTCACTTAGTGTGAGTTCGTTGGAGTATGAACCTTCATAGAGTGAGGGCCAAACTGTATGACTATTTTTTACCTGGATGTAGATTATTATTTTATTTGGTCTGTGTGACTCATGTTTACATTGAGAGACTTGCAACAACCAGCTGTAGGCGGAATCAAGTAGTTCCTCAAAAAGAGAGGTGACATGAGCATATGATTACATTGTTCTACAGTGACATCTTTTGTATTTTGTTTGCAACAATTTATATATTCAAATAATATCATTAGATGAGAAAGGTCTGTTAAGAACTACCTCAGTAGGTCAGTCACAATGACAGCATGTCATAATACATATACGTCAAATGGCTGAAATAATAAACGTGACTGGAGAGAATCAGAAGTTGTTGATAAACCAGACTTAATCTGTGGCGATTACAAGAGATAGTCATCTTTGATCAATTGGCCAATCATTGAAAGGTGATTGTAAAGATGTGTCAAATAGGTACTAAGTTAAATTCATAGATTACTATAGACTGTACCTGTCTGTCCAGACACAGATTGAGTCAATACTCTGACAATTTGGATGTGCATTTCTTTGTTTTATTCACTAGGATGGGACATACCGAGGATATTTGTGAATGCTCATTCAGTCAAAATCTGACATATCCCAATGTATGCTAAAATGCTGAGATCAAGATTAAAGGGTCTAAATGATGAGAAAGAACGCTTCTGTATTTATTTGTGCTAGGGAATTCCCAGGGGTTTCCTCAGGAATGTGGAAGTAGTCCGTCAGTGTTTAACTTTAAGTTATTTCAAGAATACAGTCTTGTGAAAAATGTATGCACGTCAAAATGTGTCGTTCATACTCTTACTAACGTCAGTTTCACCGTCATGCAACAGGCCTCACGTCCAACATGTCCAATGAAAAAGCTGTTACCGGGGTATGTTTAATTTTGATGTTTAGAAGACCAACCAGGATCTTTCAGCCCAAAAAACGTAAACCAAGAAATAACAAAATGTCTGGCCAATGCCCTTGGTGGTATTTTGTATTTTCCGTTATTAGGTATTTTTGTTCATAATTATTTAAATACCTTATCAATAATAACAGCCTCAGGGACATACAAGTCACAAGCTCCGACGTTCATACAGTTTGGCCCTCTCTCTATGAAGGTTCATACTCCAGTGAACTCACACAAGGTGATGGTCAATTCTTATAATGTTTTATATCACTATTTTTAACCTGGAAGGATGTAGATCTATAGTAATTTTGTTTAGTGTGTGTGACTCATGTTTACACTGAGAGACATACAACAGCCAGCTGTATCGCGGAATCAAGTAGTTCCTCAAAAACAGAAACAATGCTTCTGTATGTATTCATGCTAGGGAATTCCGAGGGGATTCCCCTGGAATGTGGAAGTAGTTTGTCAGTGTTTATGTCTTTTCAAGAATACAGCATTTAAATACTTTATCAGTAATAACAGTCTCAGTGACATACAAGTCCCCTCTGTTCCCTGCCATTAGGGAAATGTTTAGTTCTTGATCTGGGATTTATTTTACTTTAGAACTCTGAGCAATTCTATATAAATCCCTGCTTCACAATGTTTATGGGGTAGTTTTGCTTCGGAGTGTTCCAGCTGTTATTCTGTTGTCATGGTGATGTCGTAAGTTTAGTACTGATTTGGGTAATTTTGCCAACTCTGATGTTAGTTATGGAGTGATGTATATTCCTTTCTTGGCATGATGTGGCCCATCAAAGAGTAAAATGACACCTCCGCTTTGTCCAGAACATGCAATCAGGATCTTTATAATTAGGCTATTAGGTCAGCAAATTTAATTTCTTGTTTGTAATATGTTTTAAAAAAACCCAAACAGTCCGGAATTTCTTTTTTTCCTTTTTGTTGTCTGTAATAGTTACAAATCTTTAACCATAGGCTTGATTCTCATGGCCCATGTGACTTCCCAAGGCCACACCCCTGCAGCTTGAAGTGCGCAGTCGGAATGTGATCTGTGGAATAAATAAAGTGGTGATCCTGTGGTTTAGTGTTTTTTGGCTGAACTTAAGATCTTATTTCTGTTAGGAAGCAGGGAGTTATCTAGACCTGCTCACAGGCTGATATTTGGCCCCAAGTCTGCATCAAATATCACTAAAAATTCTCAGTTTGGAATGAAACATTTCCCTATTCATGTTACAGTGAATTATGCATGTACTTACTAACTAATTTTATGACTTTGTAGAAATAACCTGTATTCACCAATAAAAAGAGCAATAAATAGGAACAGGTTTATGATACTTCGTCTTATATTATGGCATTAAGAAAATATGATGAACTTTTGAAAAATCCCTATTTTGAACAAAATAGCAGTTTTCCCTGCCAGTGGGATTTAGTTAAAAATCCTGACTAAATCCCTGGGAAACAGAAACCTGACACTAACTGTAAGCACTTTCAGCAACCAAAACAACCCAGTATGATATGTTTTGCCCTCTGTTATATCAGTAAGAACACTTTACTTTGTCAGTGTTTAGTCAGGACCAGTAGAGGTCCAACATGACCAGGTGATTATTCTGTATGCTAGACTACTGGCTGACCAGGTGATTATTCTGTATGCTAGACTACTGGCTGACCAGGTGATTATTCTGTATGCTAGACTACTGGCTGACCAGGTGATTATTCTGTATGCTAGACTACTGGCTGACCAGGTGATTATTCTGTATGCTAGACTACTGGCTGACCAGGTGATTATTCTGTATGCTAGACTACTGGCTGACCAGGTGATTTATTCTGTATGCTAGACTACTGGCTGACCAGGTGATTTATTCTGTATGCTAGACTACTGGCTGACCAGGTGATTATTCTGTATGCTAGACTACTGGCTGACCAGGTGATTTATTCTGTATGCTAGACTACTGGCTGACCAGGTGATTTATTCTGTATGCTAGACTACTGGCTGACCAGGTGATTATTCTGTATGCTAGACTACTGGCTGACCAGGTGATTTATTCTGTATGCTAGACTACTGGCT